AATTCATCAGAAAGTTCATTTAAGAAAAACAAGTTTAATTATATCTTACGTCTAATGTTGTAAAAAAATGAATTCTAAAAGTGATACAAAATATAATCTATTTACATATAATGATTTTCAAGATAACGAAAAACCATACAGAAATTGAAAAGATTAAGGATTCACAATTATTCAGAAATCTACCTTTTATGCAAAATCTTCAGAACAGATATGAAATCACATTTACTTTAATGGTTCTACAATGTATGATACCATAGGAAAAATTGGAGAAATTAAGACATTAAAAATTTGTCAAAAGATAATCTTGAATATATGAAGTTTCACAATATCTGATAAAAATCGAATTGTCTAAAAAACTACGTGCAACGTCACTACAATATTATATTGTCGCGTGGGCGAGGTATAATCTCCAATAATGAAAGGACAAAGTTTATAAAAAAAATTATTTATTTCAAGAGGAGGATTACTTAGCTTTAACACATCCTTGTCCTTCCAAGATTGTACCACGACTATTGAGTCCACTCTACTATTGTTACACCAATTTTAATATTGAACAAGAATTAAGTATACTGTTTTGTTATACCACTTGTTTCGAACTTTACAAGCATTAATAAATTCTACATTTTAATAAGAAATCCAACACTGATTCAAACTGAATATAATATAAAGTCTGGTGCAAAATAAAAACAAGTATTTTATGTGAAAAGAAACTTATATTACCTACATAAATAGAAGTTAAAGTCCAATTTTTAACACGTTTAAGTATGTTAGATGGCGTTCATACGAAGTTATGTCTAAAATGAAAATAATGGGGTATCTTACAATTTATTCTTTACTTTAGAGTCTAAAGTTTAGACTCCACCTCGACAATTGAGTTTAAAGAGAAGGGGAAAAAACGTTTGATTTTCGTAAATTGATGTCTTGCGGTTCTCGTTGTTAAGAAGTTTCGCGGTCGGCAATTAAACAACACTCGGTTCGTCAATTACTTTTAATTGTTCTTACCAAGGCTGAACACGCCTGTGGTCCACGTCACAGCGCATAACAATGAATAACGGTTGCAGTGAACGAGCCCGTTTACTTCGTTCCCTATTGTCACCATGGTTGACAATGGCCCGTCCACGCAAGGGCTTGAAATGTACATCGTTGACGTGCAAACCACGCGTTTCGAATAATTCCACATAAATCAGACTAAAGCTGCGTCTACACTATATAGCAAAACAATGTTATCTAGCAAATTGTTATATAAATTTGTTGTGTAACATAATACGAAAAATGTTATGTAACATCATGTTATAATGCATTTCTTTCTATTTTCCTAACAAGTTTTATTACTTTGCTGTATTATATAGTGTAGACGCCGTTTAAACTGTACACCCACGAGCATACTCCGCTTCCTCTAGAGGAAAAGGTGGCGTAAGAAAAGGGCACTATCACTTGGCAAAATTTATTTAAAGTACTGAAATAAATGTTAAACCGAATGTTAATTTGGCATATATTTTAGTAATTCCCGATACCAAGTGGTAAAAGACCCTTACCCTACGCCACTTTTTCCCCTAGCGGAAGCCGAGTTTACACGTCAGTGTACAACTTAGTAAACAATTATTGGAAAGTATTCCATATCTGCATCCTACACTTTCGCATAATTTCTAACATTGGAGAGTTTCTAACAGACTCCATAATAATAGTGAATTTCAATGTTAGTAAGAAAGTCATTTTGAATATAGACTGTTCCACCAAGAAAAGTCTATGCGGAAACTAAGCATTTTGTGCCTGAAACCTTTTACACGATGAAAGATGCACCTAAACGAATCCTATAGATAGAATGTCAACTCTACCCTATCGTTATTTTTATAATGATTTTTATAAAATGAATTTTCCCAGAAAAAGAAGTAGCGGTTTACATTACGTCAGTATTATTATTGGGTAGTATAACTTGTTTACAACGCTTGAGGAATCTTTTCACTTTAAAACTTATGCAAACTGGGCTGTTTTTGTAATTTTTGTAAAAAAAAGTATGAATGTATTCATGTTGAATAAACGAAAAGTATAAAAAGAATAAAATTATAAGACAGACAATAAAAATATTGTAATCCATTATTTAATAAGATTTCCTAATTTTATTGTTTTATATTTAATGTGTAACGATGTCTGAGATATATGATTGAACTCTACTAAAATGTAATGTATGGAAACAAAACTAATGCAAAAGGAAAAAGGTAAAATTTCAATTTTATGCCAATTGTTGTACGTTTCGACATGAATAGAAATATTAGCTTTTACTTTTTTCAATTTTTCTTTAATTTCATGCTACTAGAAAAATTATTTTGCTTATATTATTATTAATTGACGAGATCAATTTAATTGTTTTGTCAACAGTTTCGAAAAAAAAGCAATTGACTTTACGAATTACATACCACTTTACACGACATCCATATCATTCACAAGCTTATAAGTACGGCAATTATGATACGTGAATTCACGAATGTTACAAATATAAAAAAAAATAGAAATTCCAATTTTTTCAAATTTGCAAACCGTCTAAGATAGAAAACTACTTCAATTGTATAATTTTAGAATACTTCTACTCTTATTAGTAATTACTGATAATTAGTAACATTTATAATAATAATAATATAAACAATTTATAATAATTACAATAATTATTCTACTGTAACGTATACGTCTACACAGAATTCGTGGACGTTCCTGACTTCTAGTTCGAAATAAGATATCGATCAAATCCGATGTAGCGAAAGTCTCATCTGTCGCTATAACAATCTCATCAGTAAATATGTAGTTCGAAATATTATATGAACAAGTTTTAACAATTCGGAAAATTTCATATTAGATAGAAATAAATGTTTACTGTTGCAAAATAGCTCATGGTAACTTTCTAGGCGGTTGAATTTCAGTTTCGTAAAATTTTAGAATTATCCATTTAAATATTCATATGTATAAATACTTTCTCCTATAATAATTTTCATAAGAAATTGAACATCACGTTACAAATAAAATATTATTAATTTCAATATTTACGTACCTAATATCGATAGAAAAATAAGGCGGTTAACATTACAACATGGTGGAAATGAATTCATAATTCAAACGTATGCACAGAGCTCCGTATTGTTACCTCTGCGAATGCAAAAGACGCAAACGGGGAATGAAATTTGCCAGAATTGTTTCTCGTGTCTCGCACGCGTCTCAACAGCTTCTTAACCGGTTCCAATCGCGTTCTATTTACTTCTTGAACGAAAAGTTACTGGAATAAAATGTGCCCGTAACGGAAACTGACACTTAACCTCAATTATTCATCCATGAAATTCTAAAAATCACTTTAACCCTAAATATAGGGTACCTATTTAAGTTCCCGTTAACAGTTTTTACGTTTGTAATGGAAAATCAAATGCAATATTCATAACTACACTGATATTTGTGAAAAAAGTACATTTATGTAAAATTCGAAGGAATTGTTACTAAATACATACAGTATGTTAATGACTAACGTAGTGCGAACGTACTGAATCACGAGTCTTGTTATATTTCATGTATTCAAACTTAATCGTTAAACAAATTTTTTAAATTAAATCATTTTATAATTACTACTATATTATTATTTTGAAAAAAATTTATTTTGAAAATGTTTTTAATGCGATTTTTTATCAACATTAAATTTCAAGTAAATTTCGATTTTCATTTAATAAATAGAATTCATATCACTACAATGTTTATTTTATCTTCTTTCTAGGTGGTATTCATATCTTTTATTGACTTCGTGCCGCATTCTCAGTGGACAATAAAATAAAAATATGTGCTTGTTCAATTAATAATCAATGAGACCAGAAGTTTTGTCAGTCTTCTTTCTGTTGAACTCCGCCCGTAATTGTCATTTGTTTGCATCTACATCAAACTTTCGCAAATAAGTGATTTCAAAATGATGACAAGGGACCAGTTACATTAATTGCCTAAAGTTTGTTATACAAAACTACACGAATTTTTTCTCGACACCTAACATTCATCAAATGACATCGTATATAATCGTGTCTGTTCCCCAAACACGTGTATACATATTAGCACAGAGCAATTAAAAATAGACGTTTTATTTACGTTTTACGTATAAAACTTTCAGTACTACTCGCGAAATCGTAAATAGAAAGTCAGACGCGTGGCAAACGGGACGACCCAGCTGTCAACACAAAGCGGCGTGAAGTTAGCCACGCGATTCGACGCGTCGCGCTGCACAGTGGTAGATTATTTTAAAAAGTGGGACAAAAATCAGTATTACTTGAAAGCTTATGATGTATTATTTCTGTCAAGTAATGATTTATCATCATCATTGAGCATGACAGCTTTCTTTAATGAAAATTCTCATAAGGTCTATTGTTAACGAGGTCTGACGTAATACAAAGCATATGAACTGGTTTTCCAAATTTTGTTGAAGAGATGGCACTGGGCAGCGTGTGTCTAAGAAACCCCGCTGGTCAAAATCCATTCTGGCCACCCTGAAAGCTTGCAGGCATTTAAGCTAATTTATGACTTTCAGCTTATAGAACAGAGCAAATCGCAAAAAGCCGCAGCTATTTTGAAATTCTGCAATTGCACGAATGAGTATTCTATTATATGCAACAAGAAACAATTCATTCCAAAACATTCCAAAGAAGTTACGCACCAGTATTCATGTGAAGGGTTAAATCACAAATTTCACCTGTTATCTAAATAATTCGTTGATTATTGTTATGCTTTAAAGCCAGACTTTCTGTATTTGAAACAATTTGGAACATATTCATTTCAGTGGAATAGAAAAATGACTATTAAGATTTAAATAATTTCCAATTATTTCAATTTTTTCAATTATAAATAATATTAAGCAGAAAAAAACTTGTTAATCAAATGACAGAACAATGTTCAATTTATAAAATATTTGTTTTTTCTAATTTTTATCCCATTTTAGAAAACAATCGACCACTGAATTGATCGCGGAATTTGAAAAAGTTGCTCACCGTCAGCTCAGCGTTTCGTCCGGCGTCATTGGAGTGTCGCCAATGGAAACCCGTCACACTCGAAAGTATCGTCGACACGATCATGCGGGTACGATATCTCACTGGTCACGCTTACCCCGTATGTCAGACAGTTGGGAAACCATTACGCATTCCATGGAAGAAGACAGTTGCTTCGCACGACTGTCGTTTCACAATGCTATGTATGATTGTCGAAATAATTTCTGAATATCGTTTGTCACACAAATAAATACGATTGACACGAATCAGTGTTTAAAAGATGACTGCGTGATTGAACATACTTTCACCTCAATGAAACACATCTCACCACCGGCCGAACGATACTGAGCTCAAAGCTCAACCGCCTGCCTGAACCTGAAACGGCGGTGACACTTACGAATCTCCCACCAGACTCCCATCTCTCACTCCCCTCCCACTGCCCACCAACGCCAATCGCGTCGTCGTTTGTACGTACTTCGAACTTGCATTAGAAATGTTAAATTACATTAATTATGTAGGGTAAACGATTGAGCGATTAATCCGACAACGTGTATCAATTCTGGGTATTTGCTGAAAAAAAATTAACATACATACACATACATATACATATATATACATACACATATATATACATACACATACCTCCTATGCGCTGCGATTGGTAGCCAACGTTACCGCGGGAAGTCGGCTGGCAGACGTGCGCTCTGACTGGTCGGGGTTTTTCGTTAATATCTCGTGAACAAAGCCTCGGGTAACCTTTTTGCTAAGGAAAAACTTGTTTCAAATCACCTCACGAGTCTCCCATTTCCAGGTCCTGCAACATTTTTGTTATACCCTGTATTCAGGAAACTCTCCTCTATCTTTCAAGGCTGAAATGAATTTTCTAGCGTTTTTAGTTTTCTTGTAATACGTCATTTTTATAAAAACTCATGTTTTTCAAAAACTGAGGGAGATGGAAATATTCTGCTTCCGGATTCGTCATCTGGGCGAGAAACACTATAAAAATGTCCCAGTGGATATTGCAAATCAGTAAAAAAATTTTTATTTTTAGGACAGTTATTGATCTTTATTACATATTTTATTTTCTTATAGTTTATAGCACTATGTATCCCATAGATGTATAGAATATACAGTTCGTTTTAACTATTGTATAAAATAAATAGTTAAATCATTGAAATTAAGCTATTTTTATTAAACAACACATATCCTTTGTTTCGATAAAACTCAGCAGAATACAAGACACAATTCGACGCAAATTTCACTCGTCAAATTAGAGAAACATGGCCGACTGTTTGGCATCATGTCAATAAATTAACGTAGAAAACAGAATTAAACATAACAATAGTAAATTTCGCTTGATCTAAATCATCATTTCGCTTAAATTAACATAGTATGCAACAACCTGCGGCGATAAAATGTCTACTGGTGCGGAATTACTAGCTACCGCGGAACCACACCTCATACCAGGGTACAAATATAATTTTTATTATAATATCAGTTATGAATATAATACTCTTTATTATAACAGACTTTAAATAAATATCTAATGCATTTTCAAGTTTTGTATTACAACCGGAAATCGTTTGAAATAATCTAAAAAATACAAAACACGTTTTACATTTATTTTTTTCTCATACACATGTTTTTACCATTGATTTATTCTATTTTAGCTACGCTGGATATTGTCCACAATATCGATACAGATGCGGCGAAACGTATGGAAGTGTCACGCACAAAGTGCTCCTTGATCCCACAGTAAATCACGCAGAGACATTGATTTTATCGAATCGAGCCAGCGACGATTACGAAGTAATCAAACGATCTTAACGTCTCTGAAACTATAGCAAGCTGTAATTTAACTATCAACTATGAAAGATAATACTACCCACTAGAAATCATTGATTTCGAAAACGACAGGTTCAAAGGCCGCCAAAAAATGAGATAGACATAGTAAACTCTCGATACAAGAGGACTGATCCTATATTTGTTCATCCCCTCTTGCCAAACTATGAAGGTATACAACATAACTTGTATTTTAACAACTGTAATGAACAAATGAAGTTTTATGTCAGGTTTTACGCCGAGATTAAACGCGTCGAATGGGCAGAGATACACGGTACTTGCTACGGAAGGATTGGCTGAATTCGAGCGACAGCAACTAAAAAATAAAGCTGCTCTTAATGACCTAAAACGGACGGTAACTTTGCAAGGTGGACAGATTGAACCACGAAATTTAGAAGATCGTCTGGTAAAAAATTAAATTTCAGACATAATATTTTATGAAAATTACTTTTATTTATTTTGAAAATTAAGAATAGATATCTGTACGAACCACTCCAAGGTAAAAGTTACGTTTAGGGGAGGCAGCTCCGATGACCTTGACCTTGATACAGTAGACTCATGTTAAAGTAGCGGTGCGGGGCTCTCGAGGTGAGTTTTTGTTGGAAACGCTACTTCAACGCGAGCGAATGAGAACCCAGGATCTCGTGGCAGTTCGGTCGATCCACTAATTGGATCAGAACTTTAGTTACAGATGGCGACTGATAGTTGAGGCGGGCTGGGGCGTTTCTATCGCTACTTTAACGTGAGTCTATTGTATATGTTGTAAACGACATTCTACTGAGCAAACTCTAAGAGACTTTAGCCATAACTCATTATTTTTAAGACTGGCATTAATTATTAAATATAGGGTATTTTCCAAGCGAATTTCGCTCTCGCAAGGGCGAATTTCGGAAATTTTTATAACGCAATGTAAGATATAGTATACATATAAGGAGCTTGCATTGTTGGTTACGGTGGCCGAAATAAAAAAAAAATTAACCCAAATCTAACTCGATACAAATTATCTAGCTGTCCAGCACTTAATATCCTAATTATTCCGATAACAGACGATACACGCTCTTTATATGTATAATACGTTTGATCTATTACTATATATGTATATAAGTTGGAAATTTGCAATTTTCTTCTGGAGATCCAATTTACCAAAAGAATTTCACAACACTCCATTTTTGTTACTACCGACTTTCATGCATATTTAATCCAAAAGTAGTTTCAGTCACCATCTAGGACCCGACATTTTGCATTTACAATTCTTGAAATCAGATTCGAAATCCGTGATCCCGAAAGTTCCTCGGTAGTATTGTTTTTCAAAGACATATTCGATTAAAAAAAAGTTGTTTCAGTTGCTATATTGGATCCGCTATTTTGAATTTGCAGTTTTTCATATTTAGATTCAGATTCAGCAAATCCCACAAACCTATAGAGATCGTTTTTGAAAAAGATTGGATGACTTTATATTACTTTGGCCACTTTTTCGAGTCTTCTGGCATTGTGGGGCGGCGCCTTACTTGATTCGCCGAACGCCACATTTGTCAACTTGCTTCGACCACAATTTTAGAGTGTCCACGAATTGAAGAAATGGATTTAGATCACAGAATACGGACATATTTTGTTCAAATGTTTTTCAGACTTGAACCTGGAAGGACCGATTTGCAAAACAAAACTGTTTTTAATATTTTTGTATTGCAGAAGTAATTTTACATATAAAAGAAAAATTAGTTAAAATAAACAATCTTCTACGATTAAAATGAAAAAAAAAAAGAAAGAAATCGAGTTTGTATCTTTAATAATGACGCAGATAAACATACTTTTGTAAAGGTAGTTTTCGTAAAAATCAGTGGAAACTGCCAACTTAAAGGCCTGTATTTTTTAAACAATTTCGAAACCAGTGAAACAACGATTTAAATCCCCTTATTTTCACATGGACTATAACATATTTCAATTTGAGCAAAACCTCAGACATCGTACACGATGGTGTCCCGCTTGGCTTGGAATGACCCGTATGTTATGAATTGCTTAATTATAGCTTATCAAAAGTCAATTCAAATTACCCATGCTCTCCGTACGTCCCGATTGCGTGGGCGTGACGAGGAACTTATTTTTGGACGAACAATACGAATCACCTAGAGATCACTCACCATCGCCGTACTTTATGGACAATTCGAATCCAGGAAAATATTTCATCAGCCGTGAGTTTCTATTATTTCCATTGCCTTGAATTTATCTTTCAATAATTATACAGCTGTATTCCGTAATAACTGTCCATAAGATTCATCTGTTTTGTTGCTTTTTTTAAACGCTTTTACCAAGCATTTAACCCTCAATATTACAACATTTAACTAAAATAATGAAACAAATATGTTTGGAATAATTGGTGCAAAACCGTTTATGGAAATCTAAGAATAACAAATAAGTAATAGTAGAGATGGATCTTACGGACAGTGAACAACGAATGCGATATTCCTTTATTCGTGAGAATTCAAGAAGTGAGTATTAATTCTATTCCTTTCAATAGTAGCACCTTATGCGTAAATCACATAACACCATTTGGCGACTCTTGTATAAGTAACACAGATATAATAGAAATTTTATTTTTATAATAAAAAATTAATTATTCGTCTAGAATATGCGGGTCATATACCATACGGATATGCACACTTTGGTGCATCGAATGTTCCCGCTACTAATAGCGCACTAACTGAATTCACATCTAATTACCGAAAACGCCAAAGCACGGAATGGGCACCGGTAACAATTTCACGACCTGATCCGCCACTTATAATACAACCTACCACGATCTACCACAAGCATGTCGGAATGATGCCAAATTATCTTGGTCATGTCCCTGGAGAAACATTCAGGTGAATTATAATTCAATTTTATAACCCCAGAAAGTATAAATTGTTTATTTACACGACACAGATTTGGTAAAACATTCGGAGCTGATACCAAAGATGGAAAAAAGTGGCTTCGTGGAGATTTCTCTGCGTAGAATGTGTAATATTACCTAGAAAGTCCCAACACTTATATCAATTGTATAGCAGAAATTGCAACATGATTGTACTGGCAATAAACAATGAACACAGGATATGTGCATACAATGAGTAAGTGATAAGGAAACTGTCGAAAACAGATGCTACAATATTTAAACAAAACAATGATTACCTCTTAAATAAAAATTTTCATTTTAATAGTGAGACAGGTAGTAGTAAACTTCCGAGAACTACTATTGAGATTTCCATTTCAACAAAATTTCAGCTGCTTTTTTTAAATTTTCATCCTTCTACAAAATAATCGATTATTAATAAGTTAATGTCAATTGCAGTGATATCTACACTGATTTAATTATTACCTTTATAAAGCAATATCGGACGTTATCTTCTCCTAGGTGTTTGTGTTCATGACTATAAAATGCGGATGGCGGAATTCCTTGAAGTCCAATGTTTTTTGTCATCCACTTGGTAAACCGGTAATCTCTATTCTCATCAGTTTCTTCCTCTAACCTAACTTTATCTTTTAAAGCTGTCCAGTTGGCTATCATAAAATAACCACCCTCTGGGATTGTTGGTCTCATTCCTACATTGTTAAGAAATTTAGCCATGTAATCCCGTTTTGGTTCTAGCTGCTTTGCTAAACTCACAAAGTAACAATCTGGTTGACCAAATCTTTCTAACTCTTGCTCAAATCCGACAGCTACTGCTTCCTATGATATTAGAAATATGTAATACTAGAATAGTAAATTTTCCTTTCTATTTAATATATTCAATATTTACTTGGACCGGAGTATTGCATGTATATACAGTATTTTGATGAATAACTTGTAAGTTATGCAATAAATTAGCTGGACCATAGGCCCATCCTATTTTCCATCCAGTAACACTGAATGTTTTACCAGCAGAACCAATGGTGATTGTGCGTTCATACATATCAGGTAATGTTGCTAAGATATATTGAATGTTTAATTTCAACTACCTGCAGATGTAATCTTAATAATACAAACCATACATACCAATCCTAATATGTTTATATGGTTCATATACGATCCATTCATAAACTTCGTCTGACACAACAAGTGTGTTCCATTTCTTAGTTAAGTTGGCAATAAACTGTAATTCATCCAATGTAAAGACTTTTCCCACAGGATTATGTGGGGTATTAATAATTATTCCTTTAGTTTTCTCATTGAACAGACTTTCCAACTCTTGCCTATCAAATACCCAGTCTGCTGAACTAAGAGATGCATTTGTACTTTTCTTAAATAAGAATGAATATGTGGATATGTGTTACAATAGAATTCTTATTCATATATAAAGTACACGTTTTCATAACATGTATAAAGCTTACTGGTTTTAAGGCAATGAACCTAGGGATTCCGCCAGCAGATTTTACCATAGGTACATAGCAATCGAAAAAGGGTTCAATAATTATCCATTCGTCATCAGGGTTTGTATGGCCTTGCAATGTAGCATATAATGCTTCATATGCACCATTAGTAACAATAACTTCATTGTTTGGATCTAAATCGTAATTCAAAAGCTTTGAATACAATCTTGCAATAACATGTACTAAACGTGGATGACCCTGTAATAATGTATACGTTCATAAAACAACAGTTAAGATAAATACCCAGTTGTTGTAACATTGTGCAGAAAATTAATATTCATACTTCAAGAATTACACAAAATACTTACAAATCCTCTAGTATATTGATTCAAAAGAGGATTATCACTGGCAGTTGCAGCAACTAAAGCTTTAGTCACATTTTCAGGAGCATGAAAATCTGGAAATCCTTGTCCCAAGTTCAATGGTTTATATTTTAAAGCAAGCTGAATGTATTCAACCCTGAAGTAAATCTAATTTTAAAACATTTACAATGAATAAATTTTCAACATGGTTTTTTTACTTACCACACAGACTTATCATTTCCTTTTAAACGATCAGGAAGATCAAATTTAGACATCACAGCAGAATAGATTCGAATATTCCTTAATGTGAATAGCGAAACTGACACTTTAGAACTAGCACCAAACACACAAATTTTAGCAAGCATCTAAACACATATTTGTAATTAACAAATCATAGAAAGATAATAACATTTTGTTAACTATACATTACGTTAATACAATAAAGGTTTAAGTTTTATAATACAATTAAGGTTAAGGTTTTTACAGTAGAAATTATTTATATAATTTTGTATTAATATTCATGCATAACAGAAATGACTGTGAGGGGGTAAATAAAAATTACAATAATCTTTGCATTTAAGTAAAACATATTGCTATTAGTACTAATTAAGAAAACAGATATACATACATGTATATATATACAGGATGTCTCAGGTAACTTGATTACCTCGAATAATTACTTAACGGTACACTTTATGAAAATTTTGGGCATGGAACTTCTTATACACATCTTATAAATTACGTGCTTTTTTGTGGGTGGAGGAATTTCAGAGATTTCAAGGTCACCTTGATTTTTTTTAACGGAATGACTTAATTTTCATAAAGTGTATCATTGACTCATTATTTGAGATGATCAAGTTAGATGAGACACCCTGTATATAGTACAAAAAATGTATAGTAAACAGAACCCTAGTTCACTAGTTTAAAAAATCGATTTACTTTTATTTTGATTAGAGTGTAATTTTAATTTACAAGGTATGTAACGAGTAAAATCATCAATATCAATTTCATACATTCCTAATAAATTCTTACCAGGAAATATGCACATATGCACTAACTGATAATAGCTTACTTTGCAAAGTTTATAGAATAGATAATTAGGGATGAACTGATCCAAGTAAATAAAAGTAAATAATCGATACTTTTGTTTCGATACCGAGTACTTTTAGTATCGATACTTTCGGTTGCGATATATACTCGGTATTGAAAAAAAGAAACTCGGATCGAATAGAGCGAGTAATCGATATGAAAGCTAATGACTGTGAAGGTCGTTGTCCCAGTAATATTAATAAAAAAAATAATTATATGAATTCATTTTCCTTTGATACAAGTAGGTATCGATACTTTTGACGCGATACCAACTGGATATCGATACTTTTTTTTCGATACAAGTCACGAGGAAAAGTATCGATACCTCGATGGTATCGGTTTATCCCTATAAAATACTATAAATAATGATTACAACATGACTACGTTTTCATCAAAACAGCTGACTTACGCAACAACTACCTATGTACTAATTTTTCCATACGAATCATATTAGCAGCGTTATCTGTAACTATTGCATAAATATGTAAATTATATTTTTCTCTTGAAATAATAATACATTCATTTACCACATCACTTAAAGCCTATGTAGTTTCACTCAGAATACTGAAATTCCATGGTTTAAGGAAAACATATTTAGTGTTTACTGTTGAATTTTGCCATCCATCTAGTAAATAAATAGCATCCCTTGATTCAATACATATAGTAGCAATAGATTGTTGAAATCCTTTGTAATGAGTATCAAGCCATGCTTGTTGAGAGAGTTTTTGTTGTAGGAATTTTATATGATGGATTATGTAATTTACGTGTAGTTTACATGTAACGTAAATAACTTGGTTTCATGGGGATTTACGCATTACTGCTATTAATCACAGATGGGTTCGCAACGGTTGATTCAACGGTTGAGTCCGCTGACCGCAGCCAGTATTATGTAGATTACGGTAGGGAATTCTCCTGGCAATATTAACTTTAAATAAATAATACTGCTATTTATAAACTGTTATAAACATGTGGGTACAGCTTGAAAAGATGCGATTGACAAGAAATTATAAACTTAGATTACATTATGTAAGAAACTAATAAAGAAATATAACAATCGTATATAATTTGATATGTATATATAAATTGTTATTTTTTAATATTTCAAAGTATCTATATTAATATTTAATGGAAAGAGTTATTATTATCAATCATGTGTGGATTATGTCAAAATTAGTTTACCAATCAGAAAAAGCAAGTGTATTGCATCTGAACGCTATCTGGCGAAGGTGTCCGTACTACTTCGTGAATAGTTGCAGCAGCTATTGAAATACCCTGAATCAGCCTCAAAGAAAATCAGTGGTTATAGAATAGATCGATCGAAGCATCTAGTCTCTGTTGAACTGCAGGCACGTTTCATACTGCTCTCGTGCGAGTACTACTAAATTAAGGTATGTTCGATTTTCTTTTCATTTAAACTATTCATCAATCAGTACGATCTTCAATTTTACTAGATTGAAGTATTCGTTTAGTAATATTTAAAAAGATGTACATGAATTTTTACGTTCAGTAATTCATGATTTTATAATAGCATTCATGGCACTTTAGCACGTGTCAAGGATCATATTATAATCCTAGGGAACTTATTAACGAAATTGTAAAATATCGTATATTTCTAATGGACTTATTAACGATCTTATACATGTGTGAAACACTAAAGCTTACGTAACACAACTATCCTTGAGTCGATGCTCTATTATTATACTTTATCAATGAGAACGTTCAAATTTTTAATGAAATTACGTCTCTAATTGATTTTGAATTCAAATTGATGAAAATCTAAAAAGTTGGTTTAGTGTGTCAGAATATAGTTTATTGCTATGTGTTGATTATTTTCCGTCTTATAGAATGTAACGTTCAACATGTATTTTGTTAAAGTTATTACGAAATATTGCATAATATTGTACGTTTAATAATATAAAAAGTGAAGGATACATTTTGTACTCATTGTTTAGCAGCAATATATATCGAATACATATTAATTATTAATAAAAATAATTTTAGAGATTGTATTCATATTTTTTGCAGTATTTATAATACAAAAAATGTTCACATCATGTCTTGCTGGATTAAAGTTTATATTTTAACATTGTACTTGAACAGATCAGTATACTTGACCTTCAAACAAATAGTTACATCAATGTCATTACGGCGATGTTAAAATTATATTTTTATACTTGGCAGAAAGAACAGTACATACATATACATTTGAATGATTAATTTTATAGCAATCTAAGATCATCTTATCGTGTTATCTTTTTACACGTCATGCATATTTAAACATGTGCACATTGAAAAGTCAAGTATTTCCAGGGGATTAACGCACGTCTTATCTAACTTTCGAATATTTCACTTCTTTATTTAACACATTTAGTGTGTCTATGTACATGCAAGTTTCGTACATTATTACGAAACGCACGATTTTTTGACGTGCTTCATGCTTATATAATAAAGACATTTTTACTTGGAATCAATTAGAATGATGTTGACTTCGTATGAAATGTAAAATAGGATTTCCCAAAATCTAAAAAAATCATGCTACTTGTATACAGTTAATACATTAAAAGTATATATTAAATATTTTGTTCAATGAAAGCAGCAATGGGTGCTCCTGCTGGTGGTGATACAGAGAAAGGAAAGAAGGTAAAACTAAAAAGTTAAAAATAAAAATTACTTTATTTTTATATTATTTAATTTTTTAATTTTTGTTATGTAAAACATCAGTAAATTCCCGCGAAATTTCAAACTCGTGACTTAAGAACATACATACGCGTCATACACGTAAGGAATGTCTACTTCTTATTTTTTTTTTTTTAATAAGTTCAATGCATCGTTGTATTCAAATTTTTGTTTTGTAGTACTAATCGTGATATCCCCGTTTTTATTAATATTTACATGAGAAACAATAAAGTGCATTTCATAAAATTTCTATCTATATTTAGAACACATTTCTTTGTTAGCTTTTTGTACAAAGATGTGCTCAGTGTCACACCATTGAGGCTGGTGGTAAACACAAAGTAGGGCCCAATCTTCATGGATTAATTGGTAGAAAAACTGGGCAGGCTGCTGGTTACAGTTACACGGATGCTAACAAAGCGAAAGGTATTGCTTCATTGACATATGATGCCATTATCATTATACTTTTGATGTCATATTAAACCATATTTTTATTGTTTCAGGTATTACTTGGAATAGAGATACATTATTTGAGTACCTGGAAAATCCAAAGAAATACATTCCTGGTACAAAAATGGTCTTCGCTGGTTTGAAGAAACCCCAAGAGCGTGTAGATCTCATTGCATACATTGAACAAGCTTCAAAGTAAGCTTAACACCAGCTGAAGATAACAAAGCATGCTATATGTGTGCAGCAGGTGTCGTAGAGGAAACTAGTACTATTATCATCTCAAACCTCATGGACATCTTGCTACATCTCACTTGACTCATTCATTGACACTCCCTCATTTGGTACTCAAGCGTTTGCAAAGTATCAATAGTGAAAAATTGTTATTATTGATTATAAGTAGATGAATCATGTTGTAATTACATACATTGACCAGAGTCAGGCTAGAACTGACTAGAATTAGCAGTACTTCATCATGAAAGATATTCTGGTGCTCTCTTACGGTGGCTGAGCCATGCGTAGATTGTGCGCTATATTTATTTATGATTATAAACTGTATGAATTGTTCAACAGATTGTTAATCTGTAGCATAAGAGTATAAAAATACAGATTCGACAATGAATTTATAATGCTTTCATTTTTTTCTACATGTAACGAAAACCAAATTTTTTTGAAGCCAAGGGAGCAGCAAAGTACAAAGTAGCAATAAATTCAGGTAAATATTATGATTCAGTTTTATCGACTATAAAGTAATTAAGTACTCAAATAATTTAGTTTCCATTAATTGAGCGAGAAGAATTGTTTGATGTACAATTAAAATTAATCCAGAAAGAGAAATAACACAAATTCTAGTCAATTATTATTATTGTTATTGTTAATGAATCCGATTATACAATATAGTAAATGAAAATGCATAAGTATATATACATATGATACATTCTATATAAATAACGAAGTGCAACATAAACACTGTATTAAAACCTTAGAAGTTAGAATTAGTAAATGAAATTATAATTAATAATTACAAAACTTATATAATTTATTTAAATATAAAATTTCATTTTTGTAGATTTATATTCATTTATATTAGTAATTTAGAATTGATTTGATAAGGACAAGGAAGAATGTGATTACAAATGCCAGGAAGTAACATATTGCATGGGGTTTAAATCCTTCACTTAACAAATACTACTGCATTCCAATCTAATTGCTGGTGAAGTCGCGTTCATATTCGAAAAGTATTCTATAGGTTTCGAATCAAAATGAAAAATAATTTCGATTCTACTGATGCACATGAGACATCATGTGATAACAGTGACGGTGTAGTAAGAAACAATGAAAATTCTTTAAGACTTCGACTATTAGTCCGAGTTTTTAGTACTGAAACTATAAGTGCAAATGTGCAAGAAGTATTTCAAGTTCTCAAAGTTCGACTCCAAGTCATAGCAGCCTATCTATAAAATCAAAGTATTCTTGGCAAGTTCCGTTATATACTAAGGAATGTCACACAGCATGTTCACTGGAAAGTGGTGTTTCATTTTCATTTCCAAAATCAGTGACAAGTACCAGTTCCAGAAATTCAGCCATTTTGCAAAATTCAAATTCATCGATATGGTATATCAACGAAAGGTAAGTCTCGTAAAATTTATTTAATTATACAAAGAAATATTTTCGTAGTCCTTTATGGAATAGCGTTTTCTATTTTCCGAACACTCTCATATACTACCCTTAAGTTAGTTGTTTGTGAGAAGATTCGTAAATTAATTAACTTCTTATAAATTGAAATTTGAAAAATATGCTGTATCAAACGTGTAGAGTTTAGGTATCATCATTTCCGACATAATTTATTGCTATATAATATAATGTAATAAAATAATATAATTTCTTGCTATGCAGTATGTCTATAACCTCAAGTGACCGGATGTTTTAGGTGGCATGCGGGACATGTCCAAAAAAAGGTCACACTTTTGAAAACATAATTTTCATAGTTGATTATGTCTACTGTAGAATCATTTGTTGTCAGTTAATAACGGTATCTAGTAGGAAGCAGAGGAAATGGTAACATTGTGCTACATCGAAAATATGAAAAAAGTTACATATCCAATCCGGGATACTTTCCGGGACAGTTTTCAATGTGGGACAGTCTCGCCCATCGCCTGATCCAGGACGTCTATATAGTCACATTACCATAACCGCTATCGTGTTTCGAAATGCTTTTCGGTAGAGTTAGATACGTATTAGAATAAGTATTTTACGAAACGAAATGCTAATCAACGTAGGTACAGGTATATTTATAATTGAGTTGTCCGATGAAAATAAATCGAATGACCTTCAATAAGTAATTAACCAAAATAATCTGTATGAACATGAAGCGGAAAAACGGGAAAAAAATAGATAAGTACTTTTAGAGTACATACATTGAAGCGAACAAACATCGCTGGTGAAGTACTGATGGGTCGATGCAGCGTTGGCGCTGCGGTACAAGACACGAGTATCCCTACCACCTCTCCATCGTCCAAACGATCGTGCGTGTATATCCCACTTCTTCATCCAGCGTATAGATCAGAGTGAGAAGAAAGGAATCTACTTCTCCCTCTCTCTCTCACTTTCTGTTTCTATCTTACTTCTCGCTTCTGTCCCTTGTCGCACGAATGCATTTCGACGTGCTCCGCAGAACACTACACGAAGCGCCTCGAACCAGTATAGAACGGTTGCAGCAAAGTACAGCCGTTTCCCGTTCAGCTCTTCGTGAGAAATTAGGAATTGAATAAAGCATACACAGGTATGTATTGAATACACTTGATTATCATTTGTCGGAGTTGTTCAGTTGTTTTTTATTTCATTTAAGTTAGAAAATTGTAACTAGTTATTTTTGTAATTGTATAGTATATATTGTCAGTAGAAGAAATGACAACTATAATCGATGACAGTGACAAGTAAACCACCGCGTTTTCGCGTATGACACGCGACTATTGTTCTATAAGAATTCGTAAGATGTGAAATGATCGTACGTGTTTAGAACAAAGCTGATCCGAATCTGGGCCATCGAAAGATTTTGGACTCTTCCAAATTATAACTGTTATGTCAAAAACATTGTTGTACGTCTTAATAATATTTACTACACCGTTAAACCGAGGTATAATTTAAAAATTAATTTCTTGTGAAAGTGTCATACTCTCTCAATTATTACGTGATTTGTTCAATGCGAGGTTAAACAAAATTTCCGACGATTTATAGATACGTCTAACGGTTTCTTTCAAATACCGTGACGAAAAGCTATTGTGATTTGTAATGTATCTGCCTTATAAATGTGCACAACACGTACAGCGCATGCAGTGCGTCTATAACAATGTTACATGATTTTAAATTCTATTTTCCTAAAGCGTTAACCGTGTTTTTCTTTCATTAGTACAAATTTTAACTCCTATTTGTAAATATTTGCAAATTTTACCGACTTAAAAGTTAATACCTATTTGTTTTCGATTTTTTTTACTTAAAATTGTCTTTCTTATTTAGAATCAATTGCATTTTTCTTACACCGTATTTATATATTTCAATATGCAAATTTTTGTTTATCTGTTCTTGACTACCATTATCTTTGAGGTATATTTTATTCGAAATTCATTTTAGATTCCGGTTTTTAAGTTCGTCTACGAATGACCTCGAGCATACAGCATGATTTAGGGCACATAATTTCCTAACGTATGTATGCATAGCCGTATGTGTGAGTCGTACAAGAAGTATATACGTGTCCATTTACGCACACACGCGCGCGCACACGCACATATGTATTCCTGACGATACCTACTTATTTGTAGCCTTGCATCATCGGGCAAAAAGTAGGTCTAGGGAATCAGCTGACTGAAAGAGGCGCGTGCGCTTCACTAAACCAGAACACATTTCAAATGTCCACTATATATATATATATACTCTCAGAATCTCTGAGAAGAGAATCCATGAAACGCGGCCACTGATAAAACCACGAAAAGATGTTTCTTTAATCAATTGCTCGGACGCGCAATGACATTTGCGTGGGCTACACATTGCATTAAAATACAGGTCATGCGTGTTTGACATGTGTTACAGAATGTTACGTACCTCCGCGAGAAAACTCTGCTTCCGTTAGGGGAAAATGTAATATAAGGGAAAGAACTCCTAAATTAACAGTTAAAGCATTTTTTACAAATTAACATTCGATTTAACATTTATTTCAGTATTTCAAATAAATTTAACAAGCGGTAGGAGGCTCTTACTTCTACATTGCTTTTTCGCCCAGGGGAAATCGTGTTTGGTCGTCAGTGATACAAAGGACTGTGAAGGAGTATTATAATAGGCTAAGAAGATTTAAATCTTTTGTATTAGTTATTTCTAAACCGGGTAAATGTGTTATATGATGTCTTCGTTTTGTCCGTACATAAATGACTACTGCCTATTTGTATTTTTGTGATTACATTTAATGAAGTCTACATTCCTTAAACGTAAATCCATACTTTGCTAGCAAATACCCATCCATTATTTTAGAAATAGAAGAATAACAAATAATAATTGTTTGATTATTTATCCAGTAGTATTTGAGTTGTCCGGAAGCTCGTTTTTCTAATTAGTCGACTAATTTGTCAAAGATGTTAGAAACTTTTGTCTGATGATGTACAGTAGTTACATCAGCGCTCTTTGCAGTGAACACGTAATGGATCTATGACCATGACCGAGTGAGCATATAGTATGAGCATAGTCAAGGTTGCTGTAATATCTATGCAAAAGCTGTATTTTCGAATTGGAAATTTCACTTTCTCCGAAACAGTTTTTCTGTAACTTTGAAACGTACTAGGAATACATCCCGAATATATTCTGATGAAATTCAAAGTATTTAAATTTACACGAAATAATTCTCTGGACTCGTCTGAACAAACTATATAATGTAAATTGTTATTATATCATAGACGTCTAGGAGAAAATCTAACCATAGCATGCGATAGAGCAGAACTTTCTGCTAAGGAAGGTGTTAAGGAAAGTTATAAAATCTGATTTTTTTTTAACAGAGAAGTGAAATAGTTCAGCAAAACACGTGGCCATGGCAGTGGTCGCCTTACCTGCCGCTCACAATTCGCGTAACGGAAGCGCTGAACGCGTGAATTAATGAGTACCACTGTCGCCACCGCGGATTTTGCTGTATTATTGAAAAAAAAACAGACTTGGTAACTTTCCTTAATACCTTCCTTAGTAGAAAGGTCTGCTCTATCGCATGCTATGGTTAGATTTTCTCGTAAACTCTTAGGTTTTTAAATAAATTGAAGAATATAAAAGCAAAAATTGCTGCGTTTTCGGTGACCTTTTCATTTTAATCATTATTTACACACATTTAGATGCCATGATATTGTTGTGGCACTGGAGAGTTGCTACGCGTTGCAGCTAGAGATGGCGTGCAAAATCACTAAGTGATTCATCATAGTGATAGAATCACGATGACGGTTGTGATTTAACATCATTCACGGCCGTGATTTTTTATCTTGAGCGTATTTGCTCACTGTGATCGTAATCTTGACCCTTAAAAAAACATATTCAATATGATTTTTGGAAATGAATTCTACATTATTATTTGTGTTTTTAAAAATGAGTAAAAAGAAAAGAAATTCTAAAAACTGATTTGTTATAATTATACAACATATATGTTATGTAATATGTCGATTCGATTTTGTAATCATTAATTTATCCGTATTATTCGTCGTTATTCTTCATTATTTCTTTACATTGTACAATGTAACTCGCATTTTCGACTCGATGTCGTTAATATAAAATACAATATACCTACAGGCTATGTGACGCGTGCAAGAACTGTGTTGTATTCTCCACCAATCAGAAACTATCATGAAAAATCACGAATCACTGTGAGAAAATCATCGTGATTGGAAACGAACGTGATCGAATTACTTGTGATTCAGAAGTAGCAGTTCACGCCATCTCTAGTTGCAGCTGAAGATGCCTCCGACTTCGAGGTTCGACATATCTACGATGGTATCGTCAGGTCGTTTCGGTGGCAACCGCCAGTATTTAGGCCCGCTGCAGATATCCGTTTTTTTTAACGTACGGCGATGCTGCGGCGACGCAATTGCGGTCTGAAGCATTATAGATTGAATTAAGCAATGTACATTTGTTGAAACGTATTTGCGACGTCGCACTTCCACGTTGCGTGTAATGTTTAACGCAATTTTCTAGAACCCAGATAGCACATAACGCCGTAAAGACGCCTATTTTACGGCTATTTTAGGTCTAACGCGCCTTTAAGCCGTCTTCAAGGCGTCATGTGCTATCTGGGTGTGGAATGTCGCAGCAGAAGAATATCACGAGAGGACGAAGAAAAGAAGTGCTTGAATTAATATCTGTCGTGTTTCTTATGATAATTTCGACGAAAGAGATGAGATTATGAGATGGATAAAAATGAAATATATTAAGTACATTCATTATTTTATTATTTATTAATAATGTATTAATCAACAATAAAGTGCCATTCTTGTCGACCCCACATTCATTTCATGTTGTTCAATACTCGGCGCTCGACCCTCGGTAACTCGAATAAACACACTGCCGAAAATATCTATCTTTCATTTAGATATCAAATAGATATCGATATTTTCGTGAGGAATCGAACGGGTTTCGATTCGGTTCCGTATTGGATTGGTATCGATTCAACAAGAGTCGGTATCGATACTTGATACGAAGTACCCAAAGTTTTGATACGTATCGATACTTCCCACTGAACACTTTGGGTATTGAATCGATTGAATATCATCAATAGTATTGGTATCAATCCCATCACTAACTATGAGCAGGTACCCACGTATGTACATAATTTCCTCTGTTTCCCTGGAAAAAGTCGAGTGAAATGCTTTCCTTTCAACGTTCCCACGTAAACGTAATTTCTGCATGAAAGTTTGAGATTCCCGCGAAACTGTCACTCTCATCGAATTCGAAGGGAAACAATGCGAAAACAGATCTGATTAATTGTTTCGATGATTCAAGTGATGAAGTACTCGCCGCAGAACCAGCAGAAGGAAAGGAAGTCGGAGAGCGATATTCGCTCGATCGATGCGACGCCAAAACGGGGTGTTCGTGTTCATTCTACATCAACGGAGTGCAAGAACTTGTTGAGTTCGTCAGCTAGGAGTGCGGGCTGTCGTTCATCGTCAACAGAGATGTTTGCTTGGATGCGTGTGTTCCAGCTGGCCACGATGCTTCATCAGGTCGGCTGTTAGTTCCAGGTGCAGCAAGAAGCGTCTCGTGTCGCTTTTATAGATGTATTTAACGAATTTAAATTTAAAGAACCGTACACGTGTGTGTTGCGCGCTCCTCTATGCCGCGCTTGCACTTGTGCAACCAGATTGTCCCCGTATGAGTTATACGGTATAACTGGATGGCATGGTCACACGTGTACAGGTGCATCGGGAGACCGTTCTCTCTTGGTCGTGATTTACGTATACATAGGGTGGTCGGTTCGTAACATAGGAACGTCCGACGGTAGCTCAACTATAGTGCGTTACGCAATTACGTGTTAATAACCACGGGCGTCGTACTGGCTACGTTCACGCTTACCATGTAGAGACGACGTTAATTGTACGCGTGTTTTTCGTGCACGTGCATGCCGGTCAACGTATAGTAAACGTCAAATAAGACCATGTAACTGTTTCGCGCATCTAGAATATGAGCATGAGGGGTCCCTCGAACTCCCGATTCGCCCCTTTGGTGCTTTCTGTAACGTGGGCCATAGAATTTGTCATACACCGGGTGACATAATGAAGTATTTTTTAAGACATGAATTGGCACGTTTGTACACGAGGCATAGTGATGCTAAATTATTTAAGACGTTGGTAACTATGATAACCGAGAGGAATAGGCGCAAACAAGACCGAAATTCGTCATTTCGCAGTTATGGTCTTATTTGACGTTTAGTATACACCTGTCAGTGCGTATATACACGCGTGTCCATCGTTACATGGAACGCAGGCCCGAGTTTCAGTTAATCGATTGGTCGATTGCGAACCATTAATTAACGCGTAAATCTCGGAATCGGAGGTAATTCGTCTCAATGGTGGTCATTTGTTGATTCATCCCCCCAAAACATTTTCATTTCCTTTAGGTTTAGACATTTCAGTCGGGTTATATGTGTACACGTGTGTACGACTGCCTGCCATATTAATACGGTGTTTTAGGTTATACGTTGTATGTGAATAGTTATAAGGATATAACGTGGTGCTATATTCAAAACATTCCTTTAATTCATCTTTGGCTATCTTTACTTTTATCTCTTTCTCTCTTCTAATCCTTTTTTCTGTATTCTGGTATGCTCTTTTTCTGTTCTTGCCGTATCAAGCTCTTATTGTTTAATGACGGTTCTGTAATCACGAATATTGATTATTTTTGTACGAAAACGAATCGTCTTTCACCCTAAACTTTCATTTAGGAGCAATTCATTGGAAATCCTCTCTCTTCTTTCATTCCATGGAACAATTGAAACGTCTATTGAAAAATGTACTTTAATATCAGATTTATTTCATTTTTACTAGCGTAGTCTAACCGAGGCATTCAATACCGCGCGCGCTTCAGGTATCTACAATCACGAATTTACATCCGATTTCACATCCTGTTTATTACTATGCGATCGATGCAAATATCTGTCAGTGTTATGAATATCAATCGATATATTTTATGACTACGCAAATGGACAAATAAATACAATATTTGCTTTAACACAAGATTCACTGTTTTATGAGCCAATCCCAATGTCACCCCAAATAATCTCCTAAGAAACTATGATAAAACTATGACCAACCAGAGGTTTTAGAAACACGTCTATCTTTCACTAATAAAAATATATTGTTCTGTCGTAAGATAGCGTTTCAAATGTCCATAGGACTTAATTTAATATTCCTATTTTTTCTATCAACTTTCAACTTACTATCAAGTTATTCTTTCGATTACGAATAATTGTGTTTCTCTTGCAAACGGGCCTATCAAGCAGCTGATAAATTGCTTCTGTTGCGTTCTTCTTAGGGAATTTTAAAGCTTCGTGGGAAATATGGCGTGAGCTAGCGCCTATGGGGCGCTTTTAATTGTGAAATTGTATTTAAGTATTCAATTAAATAACAATTTCAATTTAAACTGTTCACAATTCTTTAATTTTAATTTCAATATTTTTTTACACTTATGTAAATGAATTTACTTTTACAAATACTTTTTATGTTTCGAGAACGCGTCTGGATAGTTGTAATGTCCAGAGATGAATGGCGGAAAAAAAAGAAACAAGGAGCGTCATCTCCTTGCCCAATTATAAAAACAAATACAATTTGTTTATTATCAAAATGTCTTAGATACCGACATCCAATCAGGAAATTATTAATTAATTAAAACGACTTCCTATTTGCCAATCCATTCCCTGTCATTTATCAACTGTCCAGTTCGCGAGTGTTTAACATCTTAGCATTGGTTTGCATATTAGGAGAGGGAGATAAAGAGAAATTATTTAAACATAAATAATTTGAAATCTATCCTTTTGGATGAGTATCTACTGATTTCAATTCGTTTCCTACATGTGCCAACTTCACCTTTCTCCCTTCGATAACCCTAAATATCGCTTGAACTAAAGACACTACCCGCGACAACGTAACACTTCAATTAAACTTTTTTAAAGAATTCGTATGTAGCTGCAGTTGAAGTATTAATGCCTATACGTAATTAATCTCACATCTGCCCATTCTCAAGGATCAGTTTCTGTACACAATATTTTCAAATAAATGAGAAACTTCATTTTTATTTTACTTTCTCATATTCACACATAATGGAATTTGGTAATTATCTGTCCTCCACCTCGGTTGTCGCCAACACGCAACAGTAAATGGGTTTCCTAATACAACTACCTTATTGAAATATTTCCAGTTCTGCATAGTAGTATGCTTAAATCCTATTGTAAAACGATGAGATGTAGATATACATTGTCTACTATAAGTGATCTGTGTGTAGTCCTATATGTAAAACAAAATATTATATTAAATTGTTCGGTAAAATTATTAAAATTACAAATAATGTCATTACAATGATAAACGAAAAACGACAACGTAGATAGAAATCGATTTTATTGTATCAAATATTGATATTCTTGTGACGTTTGAAGCCACGAAGCTGGCTTCGCGATATAATTGAAAATGCCTCCGACTCCGAGGATCGATTTGTGAATCGGTCAGTCGTTTCGCTGACACAGACATACCATAACAACAGATGTACCATAATTAAGTTGTACATATTTATGTATAATTAACGTTGTACAGTTGTATAGTTGTAAATAAACGTTGTGTTGTGTTGTATTCTATAATGAAACTGTTATGTCGTGTGGCGGAACGCCACGGCGTAACAATATTTACATACATTAATACAGTGATGTTTCACAAAACTCCAATATTCCAATCTCACAAACACTGAATTACAGTGCTGATTATATCCCGTTATTATATCCCTCTCGTTTGTAGATCTCAATTTGCTAATCGAACAAATAGGCTGAATTTCTCGGAATTTTAGCTGGTTTTGCATAAAATATCCACATGTTAACTAATAATTCAACAAAATCATTTATTTATTTTTTATTATATCATTGCGAAACATTCACGGAATGATTAGTGAAATTTTACTGTCAAAAATGGGCAAAAAGAGGAAAGTAGAATTATAAGTTGAAAATTTGGAAGTAAGTTGTTCAAACAAAATTACGTTTGTTCAGTTGCCACTCGAAAAACGTAATTTTCATAAAAATATAAGGGAAAATAAGGAAATCTTTATACTGCATCAGTGGTTGAAAAACGAATGTCTTGTTCAGTAACATTTTAAAATCGTGATAGCTTCCTAATCAGTCTATCGTAAGTATGTTATTGATATACTATCAGTGTATATATATATTCCTAATGTCCAATTAACCACTATAATTCCATCCTAAGAATTATTTTTATCACAGCACAAATAGTCCCCAATGTGTACTTGTATATTACATGAAATAATTAAAGGCACTTATGTTTCAAGGACAAACAATATAACAAAAATAAAAGAAGAACTTATTTAGTTTTTGTATAACAAGTATATGTCAGATAATTCACGATGTTAAAGTTATTAATACTGTATCATGAGGTCTCTAAGTATTTTGGGCAATGCACAGGGTGTACAAAAATTATACGTTATGGCTTTCAGAGGTGAATCTGTTGTCCCGTTGAGAATGAACTTGTTACGGATCTTCGAATTGTCCTTCTGCATAACTCGATGACCAAACTAGAGTCCCTTCTTGCAACATTTGTATAATTCTGTGTATAACTCGTGTTTCATGAAATTCCGCTGGGCAGTAAACACGTTGGAATGGTTTGTAAAATGTAAACGGCGAATAGGCACGCCTCTTTGGTTCCCTAGGTTCTGAAAAAGAGAGCATAATATTACTAATGTCTTTTTTACTTGTATAGTAATTTATGTAATTGTATCAGTATAAAATATATCATTAGTTTCAATAGCCGATTCTACACGAACGTTGTTGCGCGAACGATTGCGCATCACACGCCAGTGCGCACTTGTTGCCCTGACTCAGGGGTGGTCAACTGTGTTGTTCTTGACAAGAGCGCTCACGATCACCCACGGGAAAAGCCACGAGTTACTAGTTTCCCATCGTTACATTGTGAGTTCACTCCCACCACGTCAACAAGATTTAGGTAAAAAGAAACCAGCATTCTAGGAAAACACGTGCTTTGCACTTGAAAAGGTCCGAAGAGAAAAGGACCACTAACGTACCCATTGCTTTGGGATAGAAAGCAGAAACTACGTTTTCCTCGAGGAGCAGGGAAACAAATTTCACCGACATATGTTGAGTTGCTTGGCCCTGTCGGAACACCTTAACATAGGCCGGAGGGGATGTTTCGGTTATTTACGGTCTAATTGCTTCGGCCTCGTAGCAGACGTGGACTCACAAGGGAACATCCTGAATTGACAATCACCGATTTTTATACAACTCTGTGAGATTGTAGTTCTTATAAAAATATTTGATATGTAATTCATTTTAGCTGCTCTCATCCACGTTGAAGGGGTGAAAACAGCCCTAGACAGTAAAAGAACCAGGCGCTCCGCTATTACGGATGATCACCGTACCACTACTACTCCAGATTATCTCAATGAGGTTAAAAATAATATCAAAGTGCCTTAATAATTAAATATTTATACTGTTTTCATTTTTTATATTTATATATTCTTTTATGATTTCTGATCGATATTGTTTTTCACCTCATTGAAATAATCTGGAGTGGTGGCAGCAGTTTCTGTACCTAAATTTTTCTTCGGGTTTTTTAAAGAGACTTATTGATTATCAGTAACATTGTTGCTCGTTATTAAACTACGGATTTTTACGGGAGGCGAAACTATTTAAATTGTTGTCACTTTGATAGAAACTAAATTACCCTCAAAACTCTATTGTCACTCTTCGTATACCATAAACAAATAAAACCAACAGTATAATTATTGAGTACAAGGACAAATTAGATTTTAACTAAATCTTACCGTTAGGGTCAAATTCGTCGGCTGAATCTTCCGATGTATCCCAATGTTCATTCGCAAATTCATTAACAGATCCGTCAGGTCTAAAATGAAAACAACATCATAATACAATATTGATAAGTTCAATTTACAGAAATGACCCTAGGGTCTCTCCACAAATGTAACATTTAAATAAAACTGCACAAGTATTTAAAATATATAAAACGATTCTTAGAACCATTTTAAACAAATTAAAAATTACTGAAACGAAGTTTTGTTGGATAAAATAACGTCTTTTGGAATAAATCACTGCGTAATGTATTGCGTAAGAAATTACAAAACTCTTGTAGATGCTTTACCGTTAACGATTACGTTCACGAATGCCTTCCTGTGTTGCAGTCGTGTACGAAAAATGGGGCCAAGTTCAAATAGTTGTAACTCCGGAAAAAATAATTGTATCGATATCATTAAAAAATCGCTTGAAAGTGTTGAAGCTCTACTTTCAGATGACTTTTTAAGATTTTAGTTGCGTTACTTCTTGGCAACGTTGTAGCGATATAAAGAGCATTTGGAAATTTTTTTAAAATCTAGGTACTACCATGTTCATATCTTTAATTTTGTTATTAGACCCACGCCATTCTGTTATTTTTTTTATGATAAATTACACAATTTTCAATAGGCGTTTCTGATATATCGGTCGCCTTACCTACGCGCTTTTAGTGCTTCCACGTAACATGTATAGAGAAAGGTTGTTCAGAAAGATGACCTTGACAACATATTTCAAGATCATTGAAATCGACGTGGATTTCCTTATTCCGAATAGTTATCCATAATCTTCTTATAATTGTTTTGATATTTAGTATAAAATAAAAGTATTCATATAATATAAAAGTATATGGTTGACTTACAACGAATATAAGGCTTCTTCTTCCAACGAATTATCTATTGTCACGTCCGATGAAAATGAATACGGTGAAAAGCTCTCTTTACTGTCAGACAATGACTCCGACGCCTCCGGTAGTCTTAATTTAGCCCCTCTAAGTGTTTTATTACTTTCACCCCAGTGGCCTCTTAAAATATTTCTCATTTTTTCATATCCATCACTCCTATCGAGCTATTGATTTCACCATTAATACAGAATATCCGTTGTAGCTGCTTAAAAATAAGCGAAATCAACCGTCGAGTTTTGTGAAAGATCCAATGGAGTGACCTTCACCAAGACTTAGACTCGCTTTTAACTATGAAACTATATCTCGTTTACATCCTTACCAATAAATCTTCAGTCGAGAAATAATTTTCTTCGAGATCCAGTCCTATCAAATCAGGCAGTTTCGTCAACACTTCCGGAACTATTTCGAACTCGTTGTCGTAGAGATCAATATATTGCAAATTGTTTAAAGCTTCAAAGGTGACCGGCAGCTCGTACAAATTATTATAACCAGCTTTCAATTCGTTTAACGACACCAACTTTCCTATATCCTTAGGAAGCATCATTAAATTATTTTTGTCTATCATTAAGCTAGTCAAGTTCGTTAACAAACAAATTTCTTCCGGTAACCAAGTAATGTTATTTGAACTGACGTTCATTATGGACAATTTATAAAAATTACTAATCATCTTAGGTATTAATGAAATCCCTGTCCCGCTTATGTCAATTTCTTTGAGACTGGACGGTTCTTTCAATGATTCTATTGGCATTCGCCAGAAACTATTTCCATAATATGCTCCCGTATTTCCGATTATCAACCGCTCCAGATTCGTCATTCCGACAGTTATTTTTCTTAAGATCGTTTCGAACAATTTGCACTGTTTCATGGATAACATTTTAATGTTCACTTTTAACGGCTCTTCTGGCAAATCAAATTTTTGAAATGAAGTTTCGTTTAACGACACCGTTTCAAGATTTTTGAATCTGGAATTCAGTACCCATCTCGGGAATGCTGGACAAGGGCCGTTATTTTCGGCATAAAATGAACTTAATTTCGTGGTCTGTGGTGAAACGTTTAACTCCGACCAAGAATTCCGCGAGAAGTCAAACTCTTCCAAATTGCGCATTCCATTTGCAACACAACTTGGAATTATTTCGAATTTATTATGCGCCAGCGAAAGCTTTTTTAATTGGTTTAAATTGGAACACGAATTTGGTAGGTTCCTTAATTTGTTAGAATTCAAATCCAGTTCTTCTAGATTTAATAAGTTATTTAAATTGTTTGGAACATCTTTTATACGATTATTGCAAGCTGTCAAAGTTCTCATACCAATTAATTCACACACTATGTTCGGAATATAAACAAATAAATTGGAATCAATGCGTAAATACTTCAGTTTCTTTAGTACATTCAGAGAGTTTGGTAAATCATGTAATTGACTGTTGGATAAGTTAAGATAAACTAAATTTGACAAACATTCAATGAGTCTGTTGGGTAAATGATACTGTTGATTTCCCAAGAAAGATAGGTTCTCTATAATTTGTATCTGCATTAGCTCACAGATTTGCTTGTGAATATCTTCTGTTAATATTGTATCTGAATCCCTTTTCTGTGTAATACTGTACATGGCATCTTCCAATTTCAAGCTTAATGTGTCTTTTTGAAACATACCTATAAAAAAATATACAACAAACTTGTATCTAATCAGTATTTACATTATTGTCCAAAAGTTTGTACATCATCAAAATAGTCTTAATGGGGAAAGTTTTAAATCAACAGAACCTATGTTAAATTTAAATCAATTTTCACTTATAAAAAAGGTATGAGAATGCTGCTTGTACATAAATGGAAAAGTGCTATACCTCTGAAAGGACAGTAATATTAGAATAAATATACATTGTTTTAATATTACAGAGTTCTGTTACATCTTTCTTAGAAAACGAGACTACTTATGATAAAAATTTTGATTTATGTCCGGACCACCTAATATTTTTCTTTACTTCTATTTTAAAATACAAATTTCGGTAAAGAGAAAGTTTGTTCAAGTGTTAATGAAATTTGAACTCGCATCTTATAAAGTTTAGACATAACTAATTTACGAATAATTATACACTCTTTATTTTTCTTACGTAGGGTACAACTCTTTTTAAGTAAATATTTCAATTTTGAAGAAAGGCGATAACAATATACTTACTTAACAGTATAGGTTAGGAACTCCATACTCCATACAATTCAAACTGATTCACATCGCAATAAATGAGAAGTCAGATACAGTCAGATAGGTTCACTCTGGTTCACTTCACACCTTCTACACAAGCACTAAAGTCTAGTGACTATACCATATATCTATGATCAACCTCCTGCACTAGGTGCACGGACGATTAAGTCAGACTAAGTAGTAATCCGTGATTGTCCGTGATTAGGTGGCATCGTAGACTGCATAGGCATATATTAAGAATTACAATTTGTAAATTATGGCACAAAGTAAACTAGAACGGGTTGGGACAATTTTTTCAAGGTACAGTTTATATTAAATTATCATTTACGAATTTAGTATAAAGTAAACTAGGTTATGGATTGTAGTAGAATCGTTATTTAATATAAAAACATGTACTGTCATTATACAATTCGGTAAAGAATATTCAAAATGAAAGAAAAAGGATTATAACAAATAATGAAAAGTAGAAATGTGTTTGACTTGTTTGCATTTATAAATCTGAAATAGAATAATGTACATTATTAGAGAAAGTGCATATTCTGTGCCATACAAATTATTTTTATATGAATTTCAGATTGTCATCAATAATTCTAGGTGGTGGTATGCAAGAGCATAATATACCAATATGGTATAATGTATACAAAGCTTTTCCCCCAAAGTACGAACCTCGTTTTAATAGACCTGCATCTCAGAAGCCATTAAGAAATATTTTTTATGATGAAGATGTAGTAAGAGCGTAAGCATGATTAAACGCAAAAGCTATATAAGTTTTGATGTCTTTGCAAGTGTATTCTTTTCATTCTTTAGCAAATTTCATGAAGATATCAAGAATCTTCCAAGGGTAAATTTGAACAGCAAGACTAAAACTGTGACTGCAACATTTCTTAATTTATACACACAGTTTCAAAAGGTATGTATGTAGTGTAATGTTATATATGTTATATTTCATAGATAATTTATTTAATTACAGGATGGGTTAAATCCAGAAGGTGCATACGAAGCAGCACTGATAAGATATACTTCAATGCATTCAAGCAAAAACAGAACAAACAGAGTTGAGAATTTTAATGACAGTAATACTAAAATTAAAACATAAGGATCATACTGTTCTGGGTGTATTTGTACTACAGATTAAAGAGTTAAGAAAGGATTTAAATCCTTTAAATCCTTAAAAAAGGAACGAAGTTACCCGATTTATAACTAACCACCCCTTTACCGCGAATCTTACTCCCCCGCTCAGTTCATGCTCCGTCTATATATGTCTATTAATTTTTTAGCAACAGAATGGGACCCATAACCAGATATGTAAATTTTAATGGAATTATCTACAACACAATTGGACAAGCAATTGTATGCAGCCGACGATTGGCTATATAACGAAAAAGCCATAATCATAGTGCAAGAGCTATATCTATTTTTTTTATTTTTTATTTGCCTTATTTGATCTATTACTATTTCAAGATTTTTGGTATAAGCAAATTCAATTGATTCTGCAATAATATATGCCTTATTACGTTCTTCTACAGATATCAAGTAGTAAAATCTTTTACACAAATTCAATGAAATACTTTCAAGTACCCAGTTTAGGGCTATGAAATTAGAATGTTCAAGAAGAGGTAAAGAAGTTTCATATTATGTTATTCCCATTCTTTACAATTTCCCTTGCGAGAATGCCTTACCGTAATGAGCCACCTCGTGGCCGCGGGATTCCGGGAATCTGGTGACATCACGGCGTGCGAGCGAGAGAGTACGGTAGAGCGTGCCGCGTATCTGTTCTTTCCGTCTGTCCAACGCGCTAGTGACGTTGCGTCACACTGTTTATTGACCTAGCCGTGTACGTAACAGGAACAAACCTGCGTACGCCCAATACATCACAGCGTTAGCTTCCTCACTTTCTCGTGAGCCGTCGCGGAGGGTGGGCGCGCGTCTCATACTCGTCCTTTCTCTTGTTACTAACCCATTGTTTGCTGCAGGCATTCGACAACCATCAATTTATTTACTGTGCATATTATTAATTTATTTACTGTGCATATTATTAATTTATTTACTGTGCATATTGTTGTCCCCTCTCTTGTTACTAATCCCTTATTTGTTACAGATGTTCGAGAACCATTGGCTTTGATATTTATTTTCTTGTGTACTGTGATTCATTTACTCTGATTTATTTACTCTGATTTCTATACTGTGATTTATTTACTGTGTATATTATTAATCTATTTACT